CCTCTTAGGACATCTTTTATTTAAAGGACGTATGTAATACATGTTCTGTGTTCAAAATGCACTGAACGCGTAAAACGAATACCTGTGTCAGCTATGATTGTCATCACGCACATCTATGAGTGGCCAAGGCAGAGATATGACTAACTGTGATTATGCAAATCACTGCATTCCACGGAAATAAATATGTTTATTGATAGTTAAAATAAAAGAAACATTGGTAACTCCGTGTTTAAGATATTGCGATATGTTTGGTGTGTTGCCCAACCGGACCCAGGCTTAGAGGTAAGTTTGACGACAACACCGTAATTTGGGATGGGGGAGAGGCGGGATAAGGGGGGGGGGGGGGGGGTAAGGTGAGGTATCAAGCATCGGTGGTTCAGTGGTAGAATGCTCGCCTGCCACGCGGGCGGCCCGGGTTCGATTCCCGGCCGATGCAATAATGTTTTAACTGGTTTGATTTTTTTATCTCCGACAAAGAAACAAAGAAACAAGCAAAAATTGCTGATAACAAGGAACAATCCACTCAACAAGCGACATCATCTGGTTGCCTTGTCAGTAACTGTAGTAATATGATCCGTATTATTTTTGCTCTCCCATATTTTAAAACATGTTATTTACATTATGTTATTTACGTATATTTTCAAATATGTATTTTAATAAGTGAAAACTTGTGACGCACACTACACGATAAGTGTTGAAAGCGGTTTATTTGAATGGTAGCAGTAGAAAGAGGGGGCGGGGGAAGGAGGAATTTCAAAGGACAGGTCTTTCTTAGTTCATGAGTAGTTTTTACTTAAAGATAACGAAGTCATTCATTTCATACAATAAATTATATCTTTAAAATAAAAGTCCTGAATTGAGAAAGTTTGTTTCGGGTGGAGAATTCAGGGGCGGATTGAGACCGTCTTCAGGGTTTTCCGGAAGACGGTCAGATTTTCAAGTTAACATTGACGAGTATCTAATTTTTTCTGTCGGAAGACGGTCAAAACTGGAGGATGCATCAACAAAAATAATTTGGAAGACTACCAGAAACAATCTCTGGATCCGCCCCTCAGTTTCACGCACAAATAAAATCAATGTATTAGCACAGCCGTTTTTATGAGAAGGCTGAGACACCAGTCAAGCGAATCCTTACTACATTAACATAATTTTGCTGTCACCCCCTCCACCCGTTTATTTATTTATTTATTTATTTATTTATTTATTTATATCTAACAGAAAACTCCATCGCAACTCAATCGCAATGTTATCGTCCAATACCAGTATATCAATGAGCTACTGTCTTGCACGGTATTTACAGGTCGATCAAGGAAAGAAAATCCCAAGTAGCGTTTTAATAATAATAATAATAATAATAATAATAATAATGTCAAATAAGCCTATTAAAAAGTGAAGGTCTTGGGTTGCCGGACCAGGGTAGAAATAGTGCTGCGATCACTGTCTTCATTAAGGCTGTGGTGCCGAGGGAACACACTTGATGTGCGCCCCCCTCTCCTGCTCAGGGCTGACGTAGTTGACAGTGTAAGAGTTCCTCCCCCCCTCCCCCCACACACATCCCGCTCCTACGCCTGTGTATCAAAATATTGTTGGCTTGTTCAACAAATTTTTAGGGAGAGTCAGATGGCATAGAGAGGTGTCAAGTTGTCTGCAAGGTGCTACACGGTAAAAGTGGAAGTGTGGGCTATTTTTACACTTTTCTAAAAGATTTTAATAGATTCTGAATACAACAGCTGTACGCTGTCTTTATAATTTTCTGTTAAATTATTACCTCTCTCTCGTCGGTCTCCCAGCAAATGTTCCACGCCAGAAAACTTCAATAATGTTTTTTATAGCTAACAACTATATTTTATCTAATATTATCAATTTTTTCATTTTCGGGTAAATAAAAAGTGGCTTTCATGGGTTACAAATATACCCTAATTAAAGTTTGAAAATGCATAATAACAGTGAATGATTCTTAAATAAATTGACTGGTTAGTGCTGAGGGAACGCATTCGCCCCACTGTGACGCAGTTGGTTGTGAAAGAGTTAAGCGCCCCCCCTCCTCCTCCCCTCTCGCCCTATCCCGGCTCCTCACCCTGAGCTTCAGAGATAACTTGATATAAACATCTACACTATGGCATACCCTTGTCGTTACCAGTTACTTGAAACGGCAAGGGTTAATTGCTATTAAGATCTGAAGTTCAGGGTGCGCCTCCTACACCTGCGTGTCAAAACTATCGTTGGCAGGTTCATCTTCTGCCGGGAGTTGAACAGTTAACGTGATCAACAAATTCTTAGGGAGAGACAGATGGCATAGAGAATTATCATGTTATCTGCAAAGTGCTACACAGTGAAACTGGAAAAGTGGGCTATTTTTACACTCTTCTCAAAAAGCATATAAGACTCTGATTATAACAGCTCCACGCTCTCTTTTTATTTTGCGGTTCAATGGATAACTCTCTCTGTCGTCCGTCTCTCCCTAAAATGTTCCACTCCAGAAAAAATCAATAATGCTATGGGAGAATTGTACAGGCAATTGACCTACATTCTCCACTGCAGTTATTGGCGCTAGTTTAACAATGTTATGACTTGGACGTGATAACGTGATTCACGCCTGTGATATGAAGGTTTATAATTTATATAAATAAATTAATTAACAGGGCATGTCGATCAAATGATTGGAATTTATGAGTGTAGTGGGACTTGCTATTTACAAAAATGAAAGAAAAACTGCATACATCTCAAAAACAGAAAAAGAATGCATTTTTCTCTTATATGCAAATTAGATTGCCTGTAGTAATATAAGGCTGTCCGGAAGTCATGCTCACATCAGAGATTTCAAATAGTGATGATCTTGATCATCTAAGCTATCTTCAATTTTTTTTTATTTAATAAAAATAATATAGATTTGAAGCTACCAAATGTAATTTCCTCCAAGAAATAAAACAATTTCCTTCTCATTATAAATCATTGCTCGAATCGCCCTTCGGATGAATTTTGTAACAGCTGGAAGGCTGAGTATGGCTTTTGTACGAGAGCCCCGGTAGATATTAATAATCAACTTGATTCTGCATTTATAAAGAATGATCTTGTACTAAGAACTAAAGTACCAAGAGAAGTGCATTAAAATTCCTTTATTGATATTCCTTAGAAAAATAAAATGCAAAAAAGGTTTGTTTTGGCCTACAATTAACAGCCATGTTACCTTTGAGCACAGAAAAATACGAAAACAGTAGGAAAAAAGGGGGGGGGGGGCACGCCGGAAATACCAGGGAAGTATTTCCACGAANTTGGTAAACCTGGCCTTGACCTATGCGGCAATCAGCATGACGTACCGAAAAATACTAAAACGAAAAAAAAAAAAAAAAAGAAAAAAAAGAAGGAAGTAAATTATATATGAAAATGAGCAGAAATGGCCAAACACTGATAGAATATTATACTTGTGTCTGAAATAAATGCTAGTTAGAGAAGTTACAGTGGAAATTTTAAGGAAAAGCTTTTAGATTTTTTTAAGTGAGAAAATTCGGCAAAGAATGAAAAGAAAAACATGACAAATAATGAAAAAATGTTGCAGAAATTCTGATCTAGTTTGATTATTTGATAAATGGAAAGACATTTAGCAAGTGACAGTTTGGGGTCATTCAAAGGTAATGCAGGCAAATTTGAAAAAAATATAAAGATTTATTAAAAAGGAAAAGAGGGCTCCTCACACTAGGAAATAAAAAATGATGAAATAAGTATGTTTCAAAGTTTTGGATATCATTTGAGGTAAACTGATTGGAGCAGACACAGCAGAAATTTAAATGAAAAGCATGTGCAGTTGTCTGTTATCATCAAAAATACTATTTAATTATACAATCTTTCAGCAAAGCATTTCATAAAAGAAAGCATAATCCATTAATTTGGAGGTAATCAAAATTTATATACTTGTATATTTTAAATTGGAAAATCTACTTGTTAATATCATTCCATTTTTTCACAAACTTTTTTTAGTTTTCTTTCTCAAAATTTAAGTGAAAAGAAAAAAATTAGAGAAAAAGAGCAACAATTTAACACACATTTTTTCCTGAAAAACATCCTTTATTAAAGTGAAATAATGAAGAATATATATTATATTGGCATGCATGTACTCAAAACCAAAAATACTTTTTCATTAGTATCTTTAAATCAAAAGATGTATTTATAGGATATTGTATTAAAACAAACTGCTATTTTAGATTTTCATCTGGAATCTTCATATCAACTCCACTGTTACACTGACAAATATTTTGTATGGGTTTGATATATCACTTCATATTAAAATTTCAACATAACTACCAACATTTATTCTGCTTTGTGCTAGATACATGTATATTCCCACCCAAGCTTTGCCTCATCTGTGGAATGATCATCAAGAATTTTATGCTCAAAAATCTTTGGTCTCATAAATCTGTATTATACCCCATTCACACTACAGTCATTTATTCGAATAAATAGCAAATTACATCCCGATTTGAATAACTGTATTAGTCTGAACGCATGAGGATTTTTGTTAACCGGATTTTCAAAATCCTGCTAGCGAGCTGGATTTTCTTCAGCGATTCGAATAACTTACCAGAATCAACACCTGTACAGATCTTACTGCGCATGTGTGCAGATAAGTGCGGGTTTCTATGAACGATTGTTTATTACATTAGCGATTGCGATAAACGTATTTGGATGTCACCACTCACTACAACATGGGGAAACATAAGCTTATTTTGCTATCTAATACGTCCCAGGAATGCTGGAATTTCTTTTGAGTTGCATTTGTCATCACAAAAAAACAAAACGCAAAAGCTGTGTATGATTAGAGCCATAAATGGCGCCATACTTTTGTTGGTATTTTGAGTTTTCCTCGCATGCGCGAGTGTTCAAAACAGGAAGTTAAACCTTACATTTTCAACGTGGGATTCTGTTTCGCTTTGCGTGTGTGAACGCAATACCGAATCAAATTCCTCACGAAAAATTCGAATTATAGAAATGCGCACTTTGCAACTGTAGTGTGAATGGGGTATTAGTGAATAAAACACAGTGTCGTAATCATTTTCTGTTACTGAAGGACATAGTTCTTTATGGACAGTGATCTCTGATGACTGGCTGTCTGCTACCCCATTGGAGTGAGTGGGGCTGGTAATGTCCTTTTTTAGAGGGATTAGCAGGTTCTAATCCTATTAGGGGGATTAGCAGGTTCTAATCCTTTTTAGGGGGATTAGCAGGTTCTAATTCTATTATATTGTCATACATTGGGCTGGAGAAATTGGACGGTTTGTTGTGGTCTTCAAAATTCTCCGTTTTGTTGTACTCTGGTTCCATTGCATCCTATGAGAAAATAGACGAGCACTTTAGACCAATAAATAAAAAGAACATTTCCAGTTAATGAAGCATAAATATAAAATGTTTTCACAGGCAATTTGTAAAAAACAAACAAACAAACAAACAAACACCCCCACCCCCCCCAAAAATACAAGAAGATGAAGCTATACACATACAATATATATGCAAAATACTGAAAACTTCAAAGTTCCAAATCTTCTGTCTTTTGTATCAACTGAGTATCCGAATCAACCCTCAAATCTTTTACTGATCACATTTCTATACAATAAGTGACTATGTTTACCCCATTCTGTGCCACAGAGCTGTCATAAATAAAGTCTGGCATAATGATGGCCACAACATTTCCCCCATGGTGAGCCACCGTTCCTGCAGGTGCCCCAGTCTGAACTCACCCCCAGCCACTGGAATGCAGGGCCTTGCTCATACTGAATTCATAGCAACAACTATTTACCATTTCCATAAAAGTATGAAATTTGATAAAATTTCTTCAAATAAAGAGTGACAAAAATTACTGACTTAAGATAAAATTTGCAAAAAAAAAAAAAAAAAAAAAAAAAAAAAAAAAAATTATTCCACCATTTCAGCCATGCTGCATTTTTTCTTTAATACCAATTCATAAACTTTGGTAGATTTAATTACGCCGCGGGGTATCCAGGGCACAGACCGTGATCACAAGATACAGAAAATAGATTTTTAGATTTTTAGAAAATAGATTTTCCGTGTGAACGGAGCTTTAGCTTTTGCCTCGGTTTTAATTTGTGACAGCAAGTGCAAGTCAAAAGAAATTCCAGCTTTCTTGAAACATATCAGATGGAAACATAAGTTTATGTCTTCCCATGTTGTAGTGAGCACTGACCTCCAGATACATTTGGTGCAATCACTGAAGTAATGAAGAAGTGTTCTTTGATACCCACACTGGCTACACACCCTGGGAGTCTCTTCACATTGATTGATATCTGCAACAGAAATAAAAATATCTTACTGAATGCTATTTGAATACTGCACTTGATTTTATGAGATGGGCTTATGTAATCTGAAAGAAGCTGATCAGTTGACTGTGACTAATGAAAAGTATTTTTTTGAACAATATATTTAAGACATATTACATTGCAAAACCTGGCAAATTACACGACTTAAAATAGTTAAACATTAATAATTCTGACAAATCTTGTCCAATATTTCTGACATTTGTACAAATGATGCTTAAAAACAATAAAAATCTGAGATAAGCAGATCCGTTGTCTGTGTAATGAAAGGCATTTTTTAAGACAATTCAGTTGTGAAAAGTAAAAATAAAATTTCAAAAATATACTAAATTCTCCTAATAAATATAGTTAAAGATAAATAATTTTGTCAATTCCATTGGAAATTTTCATCAATTTGGAAATAAAACAACCTAAACAAGTATGGAAATCAGAGATAGCCTTATCACTTCACTGTGTTTAATTTTAAGTGTCAGGTTTATTGGATATTGATAATCAGAAGATTGAAAATTAACCAAAACAAATATTTCAATATTGTAATGTATTATTTACTCTCAAAGAAAACAGCAAATGTGTTGATTTGAGGTTGTTTGTGTAAGAGGCTGCAAATTACCTTCAACTGTCATCTGGAAAACAATATATACCCATACAAGACTTCTCCTTACTACCAATGTCAGATGTAGATTACTCCTTACAATGGGTTTCTAGAAGGGGTTTTTGTTATCACAATAGTTGACAATGTCCTAAATCTTGCCAAATATCATGCATTGTACACAAGGATAAGGCATAGTACTGCTCTTGGTACTACCTTTTACTGCCTGCTTTTTCATTGTAAGGGTACTCTGGAACAAGAACAATATAACTGAAAGAACTGAAAATTACATGGAAAAGAATGGCAAATTCAATGACTTAAAATAGTTAAACGTTATTAATTTAGTCAAATCTTGTCCAATATTTCTGAAATCTGTACAAATGATGCTTAACAACAATAATAATTTGTGATAAGCTGATCAGTTGACTATGTTTAATGAAAATTGTTTTGGGGGACAATATATTGGGGAAAACTGAAAATTACATTGAAAAGACTGGCAAATTCAATGACTTAAAATAGTTAAACATTAATAATTTTGTCAAATCTTGTCCAATATTTCTGAAATTTGTACAAATGATGCTTAATAACAATAAAAATCTGTGATAAGCTGATCAGCTGTCTATGTTTCTTTTTTTAAGTGTCAAGTTTATAGGAAATTCATCATCAGAAGAGTGAAAATTAACCAAAACAAATATTTCAATATCGCAATATATTACTTACTCTGAAAGAAAACAGCAAATGTGATGATTTGAGGTTGTTTGTGTAAGAGGTTGCAAATTACCTATAACTGTCATTTGGAAAACAATATATACCCATACAAGACTTCTCCTTACTACTGATGCCAGATGCAGATTACTCCTTACAATGGGTTTCTGCAAGGGGTTGTTGTTATCACAATAGTTGACAATGTCTTAAATCTTGCCAAATATCACATATTGTACACATGGATAACACAAAGTACTGCTCTTGGTGCTGTCTTTCACTGCCTGCTTCTTCATTGTAAGGGTACTCTGGAACAAGAACAATATAACTGAAAGAACTGAAAATTACACTGAAAAGAATGACAAATTCAGTGACTTAAGTTAAAATAGTTAAACGTTAATAATTTTGTCAAATCTAGACCAATATTTCTGATATTTGTACAAATGATGCTTAACAACAATAAAAATCTGTGATAAGCTGATCAGTTGTCTGTTTCTAATGAAAAATGTTTTTTAAGACAATATATTTTGGAAAACTGAAAATTACATTGAAAAGACTGGCAAATCACAGCCCTAAAAATAGTTAAACGTTAATAATTTTGTCAAATCTTGTCCAATATTTCTAAAATTTGTACAAATGATTCTTAACAACAATAAAAATCTGTGATAAGCTGATCAGTTGTCTGTATCTAATGAAAAGTCTTGTCTTCGGATGACATATATTTGAGAAAACTGAATATTACACTGAAAAATAACAATGCAAAATTCCACAACTTAAAATAGTTAAATGTTAATAATTTTAAAAAAATTGTCCAATGTTTCTGAAATCTGTACAAATGATGCTTAACAACAATAAAAGTCTGGGAAAAACTGATCAGTTGTCTGCGTCTTTTTTTAAGTGTCAAGTTTATGGGAAACTGATATCATCACAAGAGAGAGAACTAACCAAATCAAATATTTCGATATTGCAATGTATTATTTATTCTGAAAGAAAACAGCAAATATGATTGAGGTTGTTGATGATTTGAGGTTGTTTGTGTAGGACGCTGCAAATTACCTTCAACTGTCATCTGGAAAACAATATATACCCATACAAGACTTCTCCTTACTGCCAATGCCAGATGCAGATTACTCCTTACAATGGTTTTCGGGAAGGGGTTGTTGTTATCACAATAGTTGACAATGTCTTAAATCTTGCCAAATTTCATGTATTGCACATATGCATAAGACATAGTGCTGCTCTTGGTGCTGTCTTTCACTGCATGCTTTTTCATTGTAAGGGTACTCTGGAACAAGAACAATATAACTGAAAGAACTGAAAATTACATGGAAAAGAATGGCAAATTCAATGACTTAAAATAGTTAAACATTAATAATTTTGTCAAATCTTGTCCAATATTTCTGAAATTTGAACAAATGATGCTTAACATCAATAAAAATCTGTGATAAGCTGATCAGTTGACTATGTTTAATGAAAATTGTTTTTGGGGACAATATATTAGGGAAAACTGAAAATTACATTGAAAAGACTGGCAAATTCAATGACTTACAATAGTTAAACGTTAATAATTTTGTCAAATCTTGGCCAATATTTCTGAAATTTGTACAAATGATGCTTAACTACAATAAAAATCTGTGATAAACTGATCAGCTGTCTATGTTATTTTTTAAGTGTCCAGTTTATTAGAAATTCATCATCAGAAGGGTGAGAATAAACCAAAACATATATTTCAATATTGCAATGTATTACTTACTCTGAAAAAAAAAAAAAAAAAAAAAAAACAGCAAATGTGATGATTTGAGGTTGTTTGTGTAAGATGTTGCAAATTACCTATAACTGTCACCTGGAAAACAATATATACCCATACAAGACTTCTCCTTACTACCGATGCCAGATTACTCCTAACAATGGGTTTCTGGAAGGGGTTGTTGTAATCACAATATTTGACAGTGTCCTAAATCTTGCCAAATATCATGTACTGTACACATGGATAAGACATAGTGCTGCTCTTGGTGCTGTCTTTCACTGCCTGCTTTTTCATGGTAAGGGTACTCTGGAA